TAACAATTATAAGAATCGATTCATCCATGCCCAAGCCAAGTTCGTTGCTTAAGTCCTTTATTTCAATTTTGTGCACAGTTGAAGCAGTTCAATAGATTTCATGTGAAATATGTGGGTTGATGAAATTAAAAAACACTTAAAAATAAAATGCAGATATAAAATTATTGATTTAATATAAATAACGAAAAACATATATTCAAATGTTTGAACTTTAAATTTGGAGAATAGTAATTAATTATAATTATAATTAATTTATGTGGTTTAATTAAAATAATTTAATTTCAAAACAACAATAAAGATAAAAATTTTATTTTTATTTTATTTGTAGAACATTTTTCATAAGATAATAATGAAATAATTTAAAATAATTACATATTTCATATATTTATGAAACATACTAGTTTCTATTAAATATAATAGTCACTTCCGTCTTAAAAATGACGTTGAATGACAACTTAAATTCACAACATATATGGTTTTGCCCGTGCGAATCGTGGAGTAATTTTAGCATGGCATTCTCAGTATTACGTTCCTAGATTAGGTTCTACACACAAGAAACAATACTATAGATGCTTCTACAAACAGAATAGTTTTGAAATTTAACCATTAAAAATAAAATATAATAAATTAATTCAATTATTCTACAGCTGGTTTATGATTTTGTTCTAATATGAACATAGCGAATGAATTTGTTAATAAAAACTCTCACAACAAACTAACAAAACTCCAGAAAAATGTGCAAACATTCATATTATTTATGAATAATTAAATACAAGAATTATTTCCAAGACCACTAATGATGGGTAATACTCGAAACAGTTGTATGGTCAGCCAAAACTTCAATTAATTAAAATAATATAAAAACAATTTTTGTTGTTGTAGTTCACTACTTTTCGAAAAACCTTTTTATTAAATAATTAATTAAATAATTTAGGTAAGTTTAATTGTTCGATTTGAGTAATCAAGTTTTTTAATCATAATTTTTTTTAATATAGTTTTTTATTGTATATACATATATTAATACTCGCTCCTATGAAAAGAACAAAGGACCACTTTTGTTCATTGTATGCAAATAAAATAAATTTATTAAAATCGGTTTTAACATTTAAGAAACTAAAGAAAGCTAATTTGTGCAAATATTATAAAAATCAAAATGAAGAATACATTAAACATCTCCCATTATATGATGCAAGACAAAGAACGATTCAAGTAATTTTATCCGCTTCTCATTAAACGAAAAGAAAAAATTTTAAATAAATGACATTATAAACTAATGACGAAACTAGAGACCAGAGTTATACCATTTTTAAGGGTGAATCTATCCTCTATATTGTTGGTCAGTGAATCCAATCAGATTTCTTAAAATTGTCTAAAAATTTAGGACAACCATATTTCGAACATCTTGGATGAAGTCGTCTATTTTACAAAAATTAAGTGAAAATGATATTTAATATAATAAAAAAAAGTAACAATATTGTAGTGAAATACTAAGTGGTGGTAGGAGGACATAATATTTAAGTTACATTAAATAAATTAAATATCTACAGCTTCAAACTCGTCAAACCATTTATTCACAGTTGCTTTATTGTGTTTTGATTAATTATTTTCCTTGAAAGTCTTTCTTAAGTTTTTAAAATGACAACATAAGAATATTTTTCCATTTCCTTACTTTACTGCTATATACGCCCACTTTCAACACAAAGAGTGATAATATAGAAAAAGATAATGTATGGAATTTTGAAGGGGTTTTCGTTTGTAATTCAATTCAATCAAAAAAATCTTATTGTTGCCTAGAAGACGGTAAGGCAGGCAACTTGTCTTTGTAAATAAATGTAGCGGCAATGAGTGTCAACAGCGCAACTGCTGCGACAAACGCACCTTAATATTTTTTATTAAAGCTGTCAATTGTACGACAATTTATTGAAAATTTGTTAGGAAATGACAGTAGCGATTTGTCATCATTTAAGAGATAAAATTTGATTAGAAAACATTAGATTTTTCTCCTAAGTAAAGTAAAATGTGCATTTAAATAAAAAATATATATACTTTTTAATAATTGTTTTATTGAGACATTGTTTAGAGTACATTAGGTGATAAGCGAGTATCAAACAAATTTTTTATAATAAAATAATAACTAGTATTAGTAATGTATAGTAACAATTACAAATAGTAGTAAAAACAAAAAATGTTAAGAGATAATAGTCACAGATATTATATATAACAGACCAGCGTCTACATTGGCTAGATTTTGGCAACAATTTTTTTATTCGCTTTCAGCTTTTCACTAACGAATACCTATTTTTGTTTACAGAAAATAATAGGTATTTGCGTCGATTATAAAAATTTTGCCAAAGTTTAACAAGTGTAGACGTCTACATAGAATTGTAAATAATGATGAAACATAAAGATGTTTCCATCAAATTGTACTATATCTATGTTTAATCAATTGATTTTCAACAAATTGATCTGTTTTTTTCTATTTTAACAGTTTTTCTACAAAAGTTTTGTAGTCTGGTAGCATTTTTATTTTCCTTTTCTCAAATTGCTATGCTGCTGATAGAATTGTCATTGTGAATATTGTTGTATATTATTATTTCATTCTTCATCACTACTGAAAGCACACATTTGAGTAGAATTGAGAACAGGTTGAATGGACAGGCTTTTTATGAATTTTTATTGGATAAAAATATAATCGAGAGCTGAACAAAATGTGAGTCGGTTTCCTACATTTTTCATTGATTTTATATAATAAGATATTAATAATTAATCTAATGCAATGTATACAATCTATTTTCACTCTATCAATAACCTACATTTCAAATATGACAATACCAAACGAAAATAAACTTAACAATCAAAAATAAGATTTTTTTCTGATATGAACACATTTCAACGAAATTGAATATAAAATGCATTTGATTAATATCTTACTTAAGTGCATTTATATTTAGTTGTATTATTCATATTCTATATTTTTCTTATTATATAAAATTCAATACTATAGTTTAAACCGATTAGTTTCGAACTGAATAATTACACTGCAAAAAAAATTTAAACCGAGAAATAGGCCAAAGAATAACCTCTATATATGAATATAACTTCGAACAAAACAAAAACCTTAAGAGTGAAAGAACTCCAAAAATCTCCACATATCGACTTCTTATGTTACTATATCTAATACATACGAGCAAAATTTGGACATAAAACAGGATCAATTAAAAAATAAAAATATTTGAACGATAGGGGTTCTGAAAACTCTATAAAACTATTTAAGAAAGCAGAATCTGTTGACAACAGTACAATTATAAACTTAAAAGATTCAATGGACAATTCAACATATTGCAAACTATAACATCAATTAAGCTAAGGAGCAACTGCACAGCTACGATAAATGAGTTGACCAAACTGTAGTAGAGTTTGATTTAGTAGAGAATATATTGTTGGAGAATGTAAGTTGCAGATCATGACGATTAGAAATGAAAACTACAGCATCTTGAGATATTTAAATAACTAAATATTGATGTTGCAATAGTAATTCAGTTATAATACGATGTATGGATCAATTTTTTTGGCAATCTATTTTACTACCCGTATATTTTTATTACATTTTTAGAAAAAAGCCCGCTATCTAAACATAATGAAACAGCAGTTCCGATGTATTTAGTTGCGATTGTAAGTAGGAAATGTTGAACATTTTGTTCTCAGTCAAATGTACCACAGTTGCCATAGAATCTGACCAGTACTTGTATTTAGATTTGTATAAGTTTTGTTTCAATTTGTTACACTTTTTTTTAAGTTTTCCCAATTTTCTTATATACAAAACGCGTGAATTTCTGTAACAACAGCAGAAGCAGCGAGTGCTTTGCCTACTGTTTGCAATATACTGAGTCACCTAACTGTAGACCATATGAACTGTTTAGGTTGCAGCATCGTATGGAATACAAACATCTTTAGCGATAACATAAATTAGCACAGAATCATTAAACGAAACGAAGTGAATCGAAGTGAAACGAACAATCCTGCAAAATACAAAACTAGTGCTGTTAATTAGCTTAAAGCAGGGAATATACTCGTACTGAAGTTAGTAGTTGTGGATGGACGAGTATAGTTGATTTCCCACCTTAATCCTGCAAGGCAGTAACCATAGCTGCAACAGATTGAAAACAACAAACTGAAAATCTCATTCCACGTTACTATTTCGCTAGTAGCTTACGCGATGATAATGCGATATTTACTTAGTAAATTATTTAAAGTTAATGTTTGTAAATAAAATTAAAAAATTTTAATGCCTACCATAAGAGAAACACAATGAACTATAAGATAAGGAAAGGATATAATGTTGTAGGCGTATAATTTTAAATTATTTAGTTTGAAATGAAGTTAAACAATTTTTGGCAAAGAGAATGCATTTAGAATATTTAAGATTTCATACAAATTCTTAAAATTACAACCGTGAAATATATACACGTAAGTATCTGACCGCTTGAACTGTGCTCGCCTGCGTGCCGGAGTATATACGTTTCGAAAGTAAAACAATAAAGTTTCCAGCTACCAACATTGGATATTAAACTAAACGTACTGACAACTACGTACGTAGGTACGTTTGCCTGTTTGTAAACAAAACTTTACACAGCAATTATTTTTATTTTATGCCTGCTTTTGAGGGAATTCAGTTATTTTCTGTGGTGCCATACCAACAGGAACTTGAGCACCAGACGTAACTATATACTCGTAGAACCTTGACAGTATGCAAGAGTATCATTTCGGGCAACTATAAAAACTAAGTTTAGCAACTACCAACAATAGTCAGTAATATAATGGTACAAAAAAAAAAACAACAAAACATAAACGGACAGACCGTTGTACAAAAATACCGAAAGACAAGCACAACGATAGACAGACGGAAGGACAGACAAAACTTAACTTATTGCATTGCATTTGAAGCACTAATTAATTGGAACTAAATAAAAATGGCTTAAAACGTTTTATTTTCGCAATAGCAGCAACATCAGAAGCTGCAGTAACAGCAACAGTAAGAGCAACAGTAACAGCAATATCGGGAACATCACTAACATCAGCAACATTTTGTAGGTGCTTGAATACAAAGGTACGCAGTCAAACTGACGGAGATTACGATGTGCAGATAAATATGAGTTTACAAGTTGGTGGTACAGAAAGACCATTAAATGTGCGAATCAAAAAAGAAGAATAAAAATATTTCATTTTTTTTTATCAAGAACTTTTGTGTGATAAAATATAAATAATTAGATCAGTTTTAAGAAAATATATAATATATATCAGGGTAAGGTAATCACCTAATATAAAAAGTTAATAATTAAAGTTTTGATGTAATAGAAAGGAGATTCTAAATTCAAATATTTGATTTCAATCAAGTAAATTTTCGGCCTAACCATCGAAAGCGACTGCGAGACTTTAACCTACTAAAACCACCTTTTGAAAATGTTTTATAAAAAGAATCACAACAGTCTGTCCGTGAAAGTCCATTGTACTGTGGACTCATTCTGATACTTATAAAATTTTTTGGCTCCTTTAAGGAAGCAAAAATCGTTTGGAAGAGATAAGGAACTGATATTAGAATACTTGAAGTCTCAGCCTTGAAACAATAGATTTCAGGTAGAAACAATTTGGTGTGCCTACAATCATCATGTTTCAACCATTTGTTGCTTGATTTAGATTGAATTCAACCGTCAAAAGCTAGTCTCGTAACAGATTTAGGCAGTTCAAGGCAACGTATTGAAACCGGTCCTTGCAAATTCATCCGCTACTTTTTTTTCTGATATGCTGAATTGGATAGAAACCCATGGAAGGATTAAGTCATTTCTATTGAAATCGTTTAACCTGTATGTATCGTTAAACCATTTGGCTGTTTCGGATATCGTCATATATACACCATCAGTTGTTTTAAGAAAAACCAATTCAGTGTTTTTATTAGTTTAATTATACGTATATAATTTTTGGACTGCAAACGGAACTGAACCCTGTCAAATTTAAACTGTGGACTCGCATATTAACACATAAAACTAACATACAACTAATTTAAGTTCTTCCATATTTCAGTTTTGACACCTTTCGTTGTTTCTTCATAAACAACAATTGCACTCGTCGTGATAGCTTGGAACTAACGTATTGACTGCAGTTATATAAATTTACTTAATTATTACAGATTATTAATTTCTTTTAAATCTAAACATTCTGCAAACCGATTTAAAGACTTTTGAGTATTAACAAAATCTACTTCTTCCGATCCAATTTCTAAATTATATAATTTTTATAATTTTTAATGATATGGCAAAAATTGTTTTCATATAGAAAAGAGACATTAGTAATAAAATTTCGAATTTAAATATGTATTATTAGATTTATTTTAACTTTATTTTTATAGATTCTGAGTTTTTAAGGGTTTTTGAACTTACATAAATTTTTTTTGATTTATTTTTATAGTTTATTTCTATATAAAAATCATTACATCGTTTCGAAGTGCTTTTGATTTCTTCATGAAGGCGGAGTTTGAAAATTTTTTAGCTGCAGCTGTCCTCTCCAATAGATGTTGGTTCCATTAATAGAATAGAATAGAATAGAATGATAGAATAGATTCGCAGATAGAATGACTTCGCGGATAATTACTTTCATTCAAGAGTGTTGTTGCACTTTTTGGAGCTGTGCCAGAGGTGTTTTCCTCCTAAGAAAGAAGCTACATCCAAACGTATAGTTTTAATCAGTACCAACGGAATTCCTTAGAATAACAAAGGAGGCGTTTATCATTGCCTTATACTGATACGTGTGTTAAAAGCACCGTAAACATGGTAATCATGTCAAAAAACTATGGCCTTGTCTGATATTAGTAGACTAATTTTCACTGGACTGTTGCTGACTCTGGAAATAGCGAATATTTCTGTACACACACTTCTACATTTTACTGAGATGGGGTCCCAAACATAAGCTGATTAATAAGACTTAATTAATCGATCTAAATAATATCTAATCATCATAAGGCGGTTGCTTATTTTTCTATGCCGATTTTAAATGATTTTTATGTAATCAAAAAAATTATTTTTATGTATTGATTGCATCCAAAACCTGCATATGTTTTGGTTTTACTACATTAAATCTGCTCATGTAACAATTTTTCCCATCATATGTAGAAACCTTAGAAATGTGTTCCTAATTATACTTAAATACTTGTAAAATTTATCTGCTTAAATCAAAACTTCTTAGCTGTTACTTACAACATATTTAAAGTTTAAACACTATAATTTTCAACAAATCAAATGCGGCAATTTCAAGCAAAGCCTTCATATGGCACAAAGCCCCACATCATTTGTATATTCACAATATATGCGCACATACAACGGATAATTCAATGGATGTGGAAGCGAATCGATGGCTTACATTTGAACATATGGAACGGCGGCAAATGGCAATTCAAAGTGCAATAATAAATGCGACCAGTGAAGAGAAATTTCTTATAGACCAGACCAGATGCAGACTCTTAAGTGTTCGACAAGTTGTAGACCAACAACTCATAGCACTTCGAAACGAGCCTACATATAACAGCAGGAGTAGGAGAAGTTGGAGTAGATGTAGGAGCAGAAGTTGGAACAGAGAGATGCGTTATGCATTCGCAGGTATTTTAATGTTATTAAATATGATTTACTCAGTCAATGCTTAAATTCAAAATAAAAAAACTGAAAATGCATCTTAAATTGTATGAATTTTTTCGGTTCATAAAATGGTACACGCGCACTGGCGTTTACTGAAAAATACCAAACTATTTTTATTGCTTTATAAAATTGGTTAAAGCAACTTTAAGTAAAATATTCAAAACAAGAAAAAAATAAATTTTGTTAAGAAAAATTGTGCGGCAAAAATGATTTGTTGCATATTTGTTACAAAATATTTGCGACAATAAATTAAGTATTAGCTTCATACTTATAAGCTTATACTACAAAGTATTAATATAACTTTATTTTCATACTTGTAGTAGTTATTTACAAAATTTCATGATTATTTAGAATATTTCTATACAAATTGATTAATATTTTATCATTCATATAAATTTTAAAACCATTGTTGTATAGAGAATATCTTTACTAATCTATCTGTACTGTAACAGATAAATAAATAATGGTATTGTTTATATATTTCTCATGCATCGGAATAGAATCAAAATTACCTATAAAATATAATCTTGTGTTTTCTGAAAAAGCTGCATGAATTGCATGCAGCTGAATGGATCTACTGGAGGCTATCAATTTGTTTATATATATATTTGATTGATTAAATAAAGCGGATCACATTATGTGATACTTTCTGCAATAATGACAAGTACCACGAATATGTCTGCTTTCTAAAAACTTCACTAAACCATTAAACATTTACCTAGCACTGTCATAACTTCAAAAATACTTCTTTACTGAAGCGCCAGTTTCTCAATTCTGTATTTTCAGACAGAGGAACATGAAATGGAATGATTGAATGGAATTACTTTCAAGTTTCATTTCATTAATACTAATTACATTTTTTTTATTATATTAACTTTATTTATTAATTATTTATTTTAATTATTTTTGTTTCGTCAACAATAAAAATAAAGAAATTCCTCAAGTTTACTCAAGTTAATACTGTCATTCTTTCATACTATAAATTCATTTATTGACATTTATCATTGACCTCGCATAAAAGACTTGCTTTACCTTTTACAATTTTACAATTTACCTTTAAATTTAATGTCTGCCCGTTTATCTGTCTAACTGTCTTTTGTTGGGGATTGTTTTCTTGGTACTTGTCGATTTGTCTTCTTGTACGTAAACATAAACAATCTTTAAGCTGATATACACTTGATTAACCATAACGAAAGCACCAATTGAACAAAAAATCAAAATCAATTTGAGAAATGTTAAAGAAGCAACAAAAGACTTAAGTAACGAACGCGTTCAAATCTAAGTGTGGAAAATTTAAATTGAAAATTGCTTTATACTGAAATTGATAACCGACAGACCGGCAGCAGGCAGCAGGCAGCAAGCAACATGTAGCAACATCAATAACGAATGTAACGCATATAACAACATGTTGCTACTATTCATCTAAGCGTAAAAACGTACGTAATTGTTAAAAGAATTTTAAATTGACAATAAAAATCAATTTAAAAGAGTTTGTTGTTTTTAAAACAAAAACAAAAATTTTATTTTTTGTATTTAAAGCATTTAGAAAATTGATTTCAGCTGCTGAGAATTGCACATGTGACAGTGAATTTGATACAGCGGCAACTGAAACTGACATGCAAAAGACAAAGTTGCAACATTTGTAGCATTCTCAATAACAAATTAAATGTAAATTATAAGCAAGTATATATCACAAGTACATATGTAAAATATTTCGTTTTTTTGTTTTCAAATAAAATCTTTGTATTCTTTAGTATACTATATATATGTTTTCAAATAAATAATTTTTTATATCTACAGATATAAGCTTCTATATTTTGTATTCGTACTACGTAAAAGGTGTGTCTACATTTTTTTCGTATTCATTTTAATTATTGAATTTATTTATTAGCTTAAAAGTCAGTTTTATGGTTGTTTAAATGTTTTAAAATTTATTGCATTTCTGATATAAAAAGATAACTCTCCGCGCCGCATTAAGGCCAACATGCCACAATAGCGCTAAACAAATCATTAGCAGTCGGTATGTGCCGCTCTGTAATGTTAAAGTTTTTATGTGACAATAACAGCAGCTGCCGTCGTCGTTTGATTGTAGCAATTGCAATTGGAATTGCATTTGCTGCATGCGAAGTTTAAGGTTAAATGTTTGGGGTTACGGGTTCAAGCTTATTGTGAAAATTAAATTAAAAAATAACAGAAAATATATAAAATTTATATAAATAAATTGCATTTGAAAAAAACAATACACGAGTATATAGTATATTAAACTAAAGTTGTATGTCAATTGATTGCTCGCTTTTAATGAGTTAGAAGTAAGAAGTTAAGTAACAAAAGATACAATTATCAATATAAAATACATAAAATTTTTAGTACTTCATATATCTAATAACAAACTTTTTTCTCTATAATTTCATATTAAAATTGTTCATATACTTATAAAAAATTTGTTTCCAAATTTACATGTGATTAGTTATCTTGTTAGTAGTAGTAGTAAAAGAATTCTTCATGACTTTGCGTGCCATCCTTGTGCAGG